TCATAACTCAGAAAGGATTAAGAGCCATTGCTTATAGGGTCAGAGGGTCTACCTTTGAGAGTCATACCTGCATCTGGCTGTTGATGGGAGCTTTCACTTACCTTTGTGTGGCCACGGCAATCCTCCAATGCCCGTTCCAAAGGTCTCAGTACATCTTCCAGCAGAATCTCAGACTCAACGACTGGGAAATTTGTGGGCTCCATGCTGGAGGGAGGACAACTCCCCACAAATGGGGGTCTGGAAGCCTTACTTGACAGAGGTGGAGGCCCCATTGGGGGGGCCCCAGGAGATGTCTCTGAGGTGGGGACTGAAAAGGTAAAGCAAGATCAAGCAAACATGGCTTAAATAGGTACAAAGAAATAAAATGGATGATGTGATAAAGAGGAATAGTAGAGGGACCTACCTAGCCTGAGTGTTCAAGGAAGGCCTTATAAGATGATATCTAAGTTTATCCCAGCTCACACACTATGTGACATATGGCAAATTACCTTTAACCTCTGAGCTTGGGTTCCTCTTCTGTAAAATGGGGATATTATAGGAATAGTACTTATTTCACAGGGTTGCAATGATGATTAAGTAAGAATATAGGTACAGCTGCTACATTAGTGTGTAGCAAAAAGTGCTCACAAAGTTAAGAACCTGGATGAGATAGATGCAGCCATAAAGAGTTGAAGGAACTATGTACTAGGGCAGAGGTAAGGGAAGGGCCCAAGAGGTGGAAAAAGTCCTGACTTGTTCAAGGAACAGAAACAAGGCCTATGTGGCTGGAAATGATTAACACTGAAGAAAGTAGTATGAGCTTTCACTGGAGAGGTAAGCAGGGGTCCAGACCCTGCAGGGCTTTGGAGGAGTTTAATCTTGAGCCATTACTCCATTAGTGGTAACAGGAAGCCACTGCAGGTTTATAAAAGCAGGGACTGATATCACTAAACTTGTTTTTTATGACGTTCACTCTGTATGGTCTGTGAAAAGTTGATGAGAATAGGTAGAGGAGGGCAGGTTAACAATAGTCCAGGAAAGAGAATGCTGGCATGGACTAGAGTGAAAGAGTAGATGAGGGGAAATGGAGTGGTCTGAGATATATTTAGGAGGAGGCAGAACAGATCTTGATGGAACAGGATGGGGTGAAGGAGAGAGAAGCCAAGGATGACTCTTGGTTTCTGACTTTAATGATGGGATGGTGGAATCACTATGGAAAATGAGAAAACTGGAGGAGAAAATTCGAAAATTACTTTTAGGTATCAATATCCGCATGGATGATAATTCATCTAATTTGGTGTGTCAATTTGACCTTCTCACCTCCAATAACCATTTTTTCTACCCTACCTCAGCCTCCCATCCCCCTCTGCCTTGTTCTCAGCAACAATGACCACCGCTCATACCCTTCCAGCTCAGCTACTCAGATTTTTGAGGTGCATTAAACTCACTCCCTTTAAATTCATAGCTACGGATTTTAAAAGGCATCCAACATTGCCTGGAAATCATATACTTTGCCTCATTTTTCCACTCTTCAGAACAACTATTTTCACATCTTATCTCCTCTAAACTTTTCTACCTTCTTTTATTTTCCTTTCCCTGCTGTCTCTGTACTTCTGACCCTACCTCATATTTCACTGAGAAAATAAAGGTCATTGAACAGGAACACTCTCATCTTCTCACCACCAGTTCTACTAACCCACTTGCATCTGTGGCTGCTTTCCTTTCTCCTCTAATAGATGAAAGGTTCCTGTTCCTATCAGAGGCCATCTCTCCAGCTGTACTCTGCATCCCCTCCTCTCTTGCCTTCTCTAGGCTTCCCTCCTGCAGTTATCCCTTTTCTCCTGTGCCATCAGTTCTCCCTCTCTACTAAAACATCCCATCAGCATACAGAACCATCCCTTACCTCACGCTGCATCCTCAGGCACTGGCCTATTTCTCATCTCTGCTTTACAGGAGAATTTCTTCAGTGAGCTGACTACAGTTTCTCTCTACTTTTCGCATTCTCTCCTCAGCCCATTCCTGCTGGGTTTCTGCTCTCATCACTCCTGACTGCTTTTGTTAGGGTCAGTAGTGATTGCTATGTTTGTCAAATCAAGTAGTCCCTTTTCTTCATTTTATTTAACCTCTCAGCAGCATTCATCAGGGTTGAATCAAGATTTTAATCTCTCCCAGAGTAAATTTTACTTTTCTTCTTACTTCTTTTACTCTTTCTCAGTCTCATTTGCTAATTCCTTCCCTGTTCAACCTTGAAATGCTAGAGCACCTTAGGGCTCTGTCTTGGATCCTCTTTAGGCCTCTATCCACACACACTCTTTATTCAAGCCCATGACATCAAATACCATCCATGTGACAGTGGCACATTTCTGTAATTCTGGCCTAGACCTCTCCCCAGAGTAGCAGCCCAAATTTAACATGGCCAAGACAGAAAGCTTGCTTTTTTCCTCACCCACCAAAACCCAGTTATCCCATATCAATGAACAACACCATCCAGTTCCTCAAGTGAAAAAATGTGTGTTACATTGCTTCTTCCTTCACCTCACCTACTATACCTACTCATTCCTGACTTTCTCCATAACATATGCTATATCCATCCAATTCCTACCACCTCTAGTACTCCCACCCTTGTCCAAATCATCATTACATCTTACCTACGTTAGCAAAATAGCCTCTGAATTTGTCTTTCCACTTCTTCCCTAAAATCTATTTTCCACACAGTAGACACAGTAATCTTTTTAAAGATATAAGTCAGTGTTTCTCAACCTGGGGAGATTTTGCCCCCAGGACAAGTGTCTGGAGACACTTTTGGCTATCACAACTGGGTGGGTGCTACTGACATCTAGTGAGTAGAGGCCAGGGATGCTGCAGACATCTTACAATGTATGGGACAGTCTCTCACAAAAAAGAATTATCTGGCCCAAAATGCCATTAGTGCTAAGGTTAAGAAACTCTGATTTATATTATAACTCTGCAATGTTACGGGTGTGGATAAGAGAGGAGTGAAAAGAGCTGAATCTGAGCTCCCTTTTCAGGGCCACAGATCCACCTATTGGCACGGGAAATGCTCAGGGGGAAAGGATGCCCTCCTCTACTTTAAATTTTTCAATGGCTTCCGCTTTACGTAGATTAAAATACAAACTCCTTATCCTGGTTTACAAAAACCCACTATGATCTGGCCCCCTGCCTACTTCTCAGATCTTAATCTCTATCCCTAGCCCACTGTGCTCTAGTCATCAGATATTCCTTCAGTCTCTGAATTTGCCAAACTTATCTCAGGGCTCCTGCAGTAGCTGTTTCCAATGCCCTGAATACTCTTGCACCTGATCTTTGTGTGGCTAGCTTTTAATCATTCAGATTTCAGCTTAAGTGTCAGCCCCTCGGATACCTTAGTTACCCAGTCACTCTCACATCACCCTGGTTTATTTCTCTGCAAAGCCCTTACCACCATTTCATCTATCTCCAAAGCGATAGTGTGGACTCCAAGAAAACAAAACTTTTTGTCTTGTTCACTGCTGTTTAGTTTGCCTTCAAACACAGTAGATGCTCAGTAGATGATACTGATTAAGTGAATAACACGTTAAGTCTGAGATGCTTATCATACAGTCAAGTGACGAGGAAGAACAGACAAATGGGTATACCACGATGGGGTTCTGAGAAAAGATCCAGGTTGGAAATAGGATTTGAAAATAATTTGGGAATTAAAAACTATATTAAAAACCGTAGGTCTGGATGAGATCACCTAGGGCGAAAGCCCAGAGAGATTCTTTTGAGACCAACGTACCAATTATTTACCTGGGCAACAGGTAAGAGGCTCGGAAAAGGGCCAGAACTGGGCCCCTTTCTGGGGCTCCAACCTCTCTCCTCAGGAAGTCCTCAGAGAGCAAAAAAGGCCCATGGTACAAGCTTATTCCTGGCACCGCCCATTCTCGGCGGGTCACGGCGCACAGGGCCCCCACGCACCTCTGGGGGATCCATCCTGGGGAGCGGCGACCCTCTTGGTGAGCGGCGTGCGCTTGGGTCCGCCAGCCTGGGTCTGCAGCCCGTATGAGAATTGCGGCGGATCGTTCCAGCCGCGCTCCTTGTTGCCTGCGAAGGTGAGAGGACGTGTGACGCGAGCCTGGGGGCGACAGAGGGTCCGCACCCCGCGCGGTAACCGCCCCCAGCCTGGACCGGCGGTAGACCCAGCGCCCCAGCCCACCCGCCGCGCTCACCCGGTTTCACGTACAGCCCCGCCATCTCCACTTCCGCACGGCCAGCGGGGCATCACGTCACTTCCGGGGCGGCCGCACCCGAGCCTGCTGGGGCACGCCCCCGGCAGGGCCGGTTGCCTGGAGCCCTCCAGGTTGGACAGTTCAGAAACGCTGGGAATCGCCGTCGAGGCCCTGCTCCAACTCCCTATGGAGCTCTAAATCTATTCCAGCTAATAACGCACGGGGTCCTAACTACATGGTACCAAGTGGGGCTGTTTTCCAGGAGGTGGCGCTCTAGGAGCCCAAGTGGGTTCCCTCTCTCCAAATCTCACAGTTGCTCTCAGGAGCAAGTTTAAACCACCAGAAGCTCATGCCCCACACATGCCCCCACTGTGATCTAGCCAGGTGGACTTCCAGAACCTCTGTCCACTTCCCTGAACGTTTACACTCTCTCGGCTGGAATGTATTTATTAGGAAGCCTAGCACACTTAAAGTACCTCAGACCAGGTACTTCAGGTGTCTCACCTGAGCTCCCACAACCTTCTGAGATTTCCTAGTTGTACTATATATTATCTTCAGTGCTGTTTATTTGACTCTTGTTTGACAGTCTCAGAAGGTGGAACTCCTATTTTATTATACCTCCAGTGCCGACCTTAGTGCCTAGTGCCTATATATTCATAAAAATATATTTCTTAAATGAAGTCATTTTTCCAACACTCCCATGCCCTTATGTGACTACCTGCAGCCACCGACACCAAGCACAGATGCAGACACTCATCTCATACAGGTTGTTAACTCCCAACCCAGTCCCAGGCCCAATATACTCACATCCGGTGAGGTCACTGAGGGATTTTTATTTGTACCGATTTTGCTATAAAGTGTTGCTGAGGTAGAGCCAACTGTCCAGGGCTGGACAGGGGCAAGGAACACAGGGACCCAGGGAGAGGAGAGCCCGGGGCCTAGGCTGTGGTACAGGGCCTCTCAATCATCCATATAAACAATAAATTGGGCAATAAATAGAGGGTGGGCAAGGGTCAGTGGGGAAAGCAGAGAAGGCTCCAAGGGGCGAGAGGCTGCAGGTTCCTGGGGAATGAAGGGGTACAGAGTCGGGCATGGACCCAGAACCTCCTTCCCCAGTCCTCCCCGATTAATTTAGGGCATGTGGAGCAGAGAGGGTTTCAGCCGGAAGGCATCAAGAAAAGAGAAGATGCCCCGCTTTCGAGGGGCTGCCCCTGCACCCCCAACCCCTCCTTTGAGCAGGGGGAGGGGCAGGGGACCTCCAGGGGAGTCCACAGAGCTGGTCCGCTTGAGTCGTAGGTGGGCACGGGCCTGGGCACCCCAGGCCTTGCCTCGAGCCGCAGAGGCCACAAGACACTTCTGGTACTGAACCTAGGGAGAAGGGGAATGTGAGGATCCACTTCCTTTCTGCCCCGGACCCCCTGAAAGCTCCTGCAGGACAGGGACCCGGCGGCCAAGGCTTCAGTAGGAAATGAAGCTGGTAGTCTGCCACATTTGGAGCCCCTACAGCATTCACAGGTAGCTCAATAACAAAAGCCTAAAACTTCACATTCACTGAGCATTTAAGGAGAGCTTGACACGGTGTTAAATTCTTTATATATATAATCTAATCGATCTAGTTATTTATCGGGTGTTATAATCACCATTTTGCAAATGAGGAAGTGAGATTCAGAGAGAATACATGACTTGCCCAAGGTCACATAATCAGAAATTGATAGAATTGGAATTCAAAACTAGTTCTGATTGCACGGCCTGTGCTCTTATCCATACCTACCACTATGCTAACTCTCCCCCATCTCTCATTGCAGTGGACTGGACCCTGGCAAAGTGGACTCCCTAGTCAAAGGGATGTTCTACAACCCAGTCCCAATGCAACTGCTCTGCTCCTCTCTCATTTGAACTCAACAGGGTTCTAAATGGTCTTCTCACTTCTCTTGTGTCTTCCAAATCTTCTACCCATACTATAGGTTTAGTGATCTTCAAAATTCACAAACTTGACTTCACTGTTCTGCTCAAAACCTTTCAATGGCTCAAAGTGCCTCAAGATAAAACAAATTTATCACCCTACCCTGTAAGTTCTTCCATGACCTCGATTCTGCCATTCTTTCTGCCCCTATCTCTCACTCCATCTCCCCTTGCACTCCAGATACACTAGATTCTTACACATACTCTAATCCACTGACATCCCTCTCACCTTCACAGCTGGGGTTCCCTGTACTTGGCACATGTCCTGTCCCATTCCCCTTCACCTGGATAACTTCCCTCCTTGGACCTTCAACTCTCAGTTTTCTATCACCTCTTTCAGGTAGCCTTCTTGAACCTCCAAAGGGGCCATATCCTCCATCATCCTGTGGTGCACAACTTCTTTCTGGCCTGTCTCTGCTCTAACCTAAGTGTTCTATGAGGGCAAAGCCTATGCCCTCTAAACCACTGAATTCCCAGGGTCCAGTATGGTTGAGTTCCGGCAAGCACTCGTATTTGAGTGAATAAGTGAACTGAACTGAGTGCAAGTGTCCCATACTCAAATGCCCACAGATAACCAGAAAACAATTTAAATGAGAGAAAACAGGAAAGACAATGCTCACCCTTCAAGGCACAGCCCTTACACAATTCCAGCTAAATGCTGAAATGTATACGTGTGGACCCAAGTGCCAGAGCTTCTGCTATTTTACAAAAAACACAAATGGCAATTATTATGTGAAATGTCCTGGCCTTTAAATATTGGCAACTAATTAAAGCCTATTAAAAACAGCATGAGGGTCAAATAAAATACTGCTGAACCACAGTCAGTCCTGGCATGGCTGGTTTGTGATCTCTGGAGAGGCTGCCGATCCTGAACCCCAGTCACCCGTACAGAGCAGCTGCAGGGCAATCCCACCCACCCATTCCCACCCCTAACTCACCATGCAAGCAGCCTGCACAGCTTCGGAGAGTCCCCCTGCATGGGGCTGGCACCAGAAGGCCGCACACTGGAAGCTCTGACGGCCCAGGTCGGCAATGAGGCCAAAGGTGTGTGGGTCACGACCAACACCAATAAAGGTCACGAGGCGCACAGGGCACTGCCACAGTGGCTCCTCCTCTGCACCAGCCTCTGCCTGCCCAAATCAGGCCTAGTCACTAGGGGGCCAGGTACTAGCTGGACCCACTGAGCACTTCCAGTAGCAAGCAATAACCCCTTGGCATCCCCACCCACCCCTCCACACCCCCAACTTCACCTTCTTCTGGCTGGTACCTGAATGGGATGTGCAGTCATGAGAGAGTCAGATATGCTGAGCATGGCAGGGACCCAGGCGTCCCGGTCCCCATGGGTGGTGAGGGTACCAATGGCCGCGTTCATCACGTCCATGCCTGGGGGGGGACAAGCCCACCATGGTGTCTCCCAGGCGTAAAGAAGGATCTGCAGGGAGTGTCTAGGCCCCTCTCACTGACTTAGGATTCAGAGAGATGGGAACAGAATAGCTGCAGCCAGGTTTAGACTCCTGAGTTGAGAAGGGTGGTACATCCCAGGCTATAGAGGGCCATGGGAGCACTCTTAGAAATGTGATAGATCCTTCCTTTCCCACCTTCCTCTTCTCTTATGGAGCCCACCCCCTCCAGCCCACTCAGTCCTCACCCATGGCTTTGGTGACTGGCAGGGTCCCCATGTACAGTGCCTCGTACTTCTGAGCAGCCTGGCTCACCGCATCCAGTAGCTCCACTGAAATATATACACCAAGTTGGCCTGGGTACTCTCTCAGTGACCCCTTTCTCCACGCTTCTAAGGGAACTGGAACTAGCAGGAAAAAGGCCATGGATGTTCCTCCAATTTAGAGTTTGGGATCCCTGGGACAAGGATACCTCAGAAGTTCTCTATCTCCAGAGAAGTACTAAATAACCAGAACCCCCTTCCCATCTTTCACCAAAGTAGCCTGTTGGTGCAGTGCAGCCCTTCCCTCCCCATACCTTGTCGAGGCAGGTCTTCAGGGGAGATGGGGTCTAGTGAGCAGCAAGGGGAATCACCACTGACCCCTACTCGCTCTGACAAGATCTGAAACACAATGCAGCCAGCATGAGGTGTAGGGAGAGGGAAGTGAGGTAAGGGAGCCAATACCACCCTAACCCAACCACCTTAGCAGCTTCAGACCCAGCTCCATACCCACATTCCCTGCCCCACTCTGGCCCTTACCTGGGCACAGAGCCCGTGTAGGGCACTGGCAATGGCCTTGGCAGGGACGTCACAGCGAAACACATGGCACTTGAGCATACAGCTGTCTTTGTCACCCGCCACAAAAGCGAAGTCCCTGGCAGGGTCAGAGATGGGGCTAGGGCAGGGCCAGGGATGGAGCTGGGGTAGAGGCTAGGTAGGGACAGGGGCCTGTAGTGCCTGCAGGAGGCTGGAAAGTCAGGGTTATGGCAGGAATGGAACAAGGAGATCAGGGCTGGGGCTCTAGGCACCTGGCTGTCACTCACCTGTCACTGTTCCAGAAGCATGTGGGAGCACAGGAGAGAATCAGCCCAGCCTCTCAGGCTCTCCCCCATCCGTCCCTGCTGAGCTGGGCCCACCCTCCCCAACCAGGGCTGGACCAGGCAGGGGAGGCAGAGCTTGGGTACATGTCAGAGGACCTGTGTCCAGGGGTTCAAGTACAGGGGGTCAGCATCAGCGGGGATCACAGCCTGCCGGGGGGAGGGAGGAGCAACTCTCACTTCGAGGGATGTAGGGGTCCTCACCGGCCCTTGGAGCTGCCCACACCCCATACACGAATGTGCACCAGAGGCTGGCGGTGGATCAGACTGTGGTCCAGGGGATTCACCAGGCTCATCACATCCTTCTTCAGGATCATCAGCATGTTCTGGCCCTGCCAAGGAGAGGTCAGCCCGGAGCTCAGATGAAGGTGGTTGCCATGAGGAACAGGCAACTCAGGGACAACCACCTCTGCTGGATGCTGGGCTGAAACCCTTAAAGGGCCAGCCAGCTTACCTCGCCCCAGGTACCATCCGGGGGCTGGCTCTGGCTACGAGTCTGGGCCAGCTGCTGGATGCAGTTATTGACTGCAATACTGCTCTTCCCTGGTACCAGGTCCTCTTCAGGTACTTCTACCCAGCCCAGAGAGCGGACTGCGAAGCACTGACGGGTTGAGGAAAAGGACACGAGGACCCTGAGTAAGTAGAGGTGAAGTAGGGTGGGAGATGCCACAGGCTCCACATATATAAACCCTCTGAGACCTCCCTTCAGCCTTGATTACCTCTGCTCAGCCCAGTCTCACCCCTGACCTTTCCCTTGGGACCCTCCCCAATGCCCTGGACTGGCCCTCAGGCCCAAATCACTACCTTAGCCCCTGGCTCCATTCTCTGGATGTAGGATTCTTCACCATACCAGGACAGAGAATTACTGGAATAGAGCAGAGCTCGTAAGAGGACCACAATTCCTACAGAAGGGACAATGGTGAGGACCAGACTACTCAATGGGCACAAGATGTGGGATAAGACCCAGAATATAGTGTCCCAAATATAAAGTCAGAGTGAGACAAGGCCCAGGACATATTACATAAATGTAACATAAAGCATGGCTTAGAATTTGAGGGAAAATTCAACACACAGGACACAGAATAAAACAAACATGGAACAGGGTCCAAAATCTGGACCAGCGCCCCAAATCAGGACAAGAAGACCCTAGAACACAGGATAGGAACCTCCGTGGACAGAACCTAGGTAGTGACCAAGGCCTAGAACATGAGAGGTCAGGACCCAGAATACATAAAACAACATGTAACAAAAAACAGCTTGGAACAAGGAACAAAACTCAAAACACTGGGAGAGTCAACAATATGGGACAGAGCCAAGAACACATAACAAAACCCTAAACATGGGACACAGTCCAGAACCTGTGCTGGAAAGCGGACTGTGGGTCCAGCTGCATCTTTGAGTGCCATGGAACCCCAAGCCTTTCATTTTTGCCTGGCCTATCCCTGTTACCTCCGGTCCAGTGAGCTCTCCAGGCTGGAGAAGGATCTCCCCTTGGGGGGCCGAAGTCCCCAAATTCCCTCCGTCTTCTGTAGAGAGGGGGCTAGGTCAGTGTGGCAGTAGGCTTAGATCCACACATGAGCTCAGGCCCCCTCTTCACACGCCACCTACCGTGCCTGGGTCCTCTGCATCTCCTGACTCCCAGGTTGGGCGCTGCCACTGGGTGCTACCGCTGGGTACATGCCAATAATAAGTACCTGCAGCATCGCGGATCTTCCTCCAGCCAGGGGGCAAACCTGGCTCTCCCTCCAGACTCTGGTCCCCCCACAAGTCATCTACAGGAACGTGAGATTGGAGAAGGAAGGCATATATGTGCGCTCAGAATAACACTTTGTCATAACCCTTCCTCCAACCCAAAAGGCACAACTTAGCGCTGAAGGTTCAGCCTGAGGGTCCAGGCTTCCAACCTTGGATACTGCAGTGCAAAGATCGGGGTTCATTTGTTCCCTGGTCCTCACTCCGAGACGTACGCCCCTCCCTGTCTTTGAGGCTGAGGTAGCCTTTCGCGCTCCCTCGTCCCCCCTCAGCTCCCGATCCTCCCATCGGGACCCTCTGTGCACACCATCGCAGTTGACCAGAATGATGGCCAGCATGTAATCCTTGCCCAGCATAGCCCTGGTCGCGTCCCCAGCTCGCCTCCGGAGCTGCTGCGCCTACAAGTCCAGCCTCTGCGCTGGAATCGGCCTGGCCAGCTGGCGCCGCACAAATACGGGGCGGGGCAGGGGCCGGGTCCTGGGGCGGGAAAGGACCCGCCTGAGCAGCGCCTCCTGTCGAAAGGTGGCGCGTGAAAACAGCCGTCCTGATCCCCCAGTTGCCGCGCGTTGGCGTGCGAAGGTCTGGAGGAGGAGCAAGGTCCGCGGCGCGCACGCTGACATCATAGCTCAATTGTGAGCTCATCAAGCGGCGGAAGATCCGCCAGGCGAACTTGCGCGGAGCGCACACGCGCACGAGTGAGATCATGGCATTTAGGTGGTCTACGCGCGCGCACACGCAGCCTGGGTCTCAAAGGGAGAGGTCACGTGGGAGTATCTGCGAAAAGAAGACCTTCAGGAAAGCGTCTCCACCCGTTCCAGAAATGCCCCGGAAGTGCCTGCGCCCTCAGTAAAGATGGCAGTAGCATTTGCCAGGAGGGAGGCGGTGCTGCGCCTGCGCAACAAGCTCGGCAGGGAAGATGGCGGATGACAAGGTGAGCGAACAGGAGCGTTGTCTGCAGTCCGGGGTGGGCTTCACACCTTTTTAGTCTTGGGGAGAGGCGACAGATGGGGAGGGCTCCTGGGTGGGGGGTGCCCCTTGCTTCTCCTGGTAGCGGACTTTTACTCCTGTCGACTGCCTCAATAATGGGAAGTGGAGTGGCGGAGCATTGCGCAAGGCAAGCGGAACCGGGAATCCCCCAGGTGTCACCCCAACCCCCAACCCCGGACCATGATGATCCTTAGTTACTTGCAGACAGTCCTCACTCTTCTCTGTTCTCTAGCCACCGAAATTTCCCTTCCAGAGACAGGAAGTTTCCAACAACACAGACACACCCGCATTCGAACACATTCCTTGGGCACACTAATTTCGTCGTTATGTGCGACCAAAATCCTGAATTCATTTACCCACACCCTTGCAGACAGCCACGTTCCCTCCCCCCGCACCAAACCCCAGCTCATCCAGTCACACATTCAGTTTGGGATGGGTTTGGGGAGGAAGAGGGAGAAGCCTAGGCAGAAATCAGGTTTACCCCCAAATTGTCCAAGGAACTGCCTCACCGTTAGTCTGGAAGTTCAGCACCAACCACACATTTACTAAGTACTTGGAGTCCCTGTGTTAGGCCTCGGGACACAGACGACAAGATAGACTTTCAGGTAGCTTCCTACTCACTAGCGCTTGCCGGATAAACCTAGGTCTCCTAGCTGCCCCTCTTGTCTTCTCTATACACCGCTTACTGTATAAAATTCCTGTAAGAGTTGCTGTAAGTTACCGATGCAGGTCCCATCGGTCACCCCCTCCCAGGCCCCCGTGTGAATTCTTTACTTTTCAATGCCTTTCTTCCTTTACCACTATCATCTCAGGAAGGTTTTATAGGAAGGGGTTTCTTAGGCTCACTGCCTCCTGCCCCCAGCCTCTGATAGACTTGAGCAGGGGATGGGGCTGGGTCAACCTTCTGAAGCCAACCTCTCTTTTGTCCTAGGATTCTCTGCCCAAGCTTAAGGACCTGGCATTTCTCAAGAACCAGCTGGAGCGCCTGCAGCAACGTGTGGAAGACGAAGTCAGCAGTGGTGTAGACCAGGTAAAGGTGCACCTGCCCCCTGCCTCCTGCTTAGGCTTCATTGGCCAATATGCTTTTGAGTGGGTGGTAGAGATTTATTCAGCAAATGGTTGGTTATTGAGGGCCTATTCTCTGTGTCACCAAGGAAAGTTTCCCTGAGAAAATGGCCTTTGAACTGGGATCTTAAGTAGGGGTTAACTGGGTGAAGGGGGGAGGAGGGAACATTCCCGGCAGATGGAACAGCAGAGGCAAAACCCTTGTGGTCGGAGGTAGCATGATGAACATGCGAGGTGAAAACAGTTCAGTTTGGCTGCAGTAGTGGGGGAGCATGCTAGGATATGAGACTGGAGAAGCAAGCAGGGGTCAGATTCCTCAGGGACATCTCTCTCAGTGGGATTCTGTGGTTAGAGCCTTCTGACCTCAGGGTTCTGACATTGTGTGATCATGACTCCTAGGTTCTTTTTCTGCCCAGGACCTTGAAAAAATCTTTGGTGAGCATACTATGGTTTTCCAGAGTAAGGAGGAGCAGGTAGTGGAACATGCTAAGCCCAGCTTGAGTAGCTCCTGGGCAGAGAAGGGGAGAGCCTGGCTGAATTTTCTCCTGCATTTTCCTCCACAGGATGGCTCGCTCTTGTCCTCTCCATTCCTCAAGGGCTTCCTGGCTGGCTATGTGGTGGCCAAACTGAGGGCGTCAGCAGTATTAGGCTTTGCCGTGGGCACCTGCACTGGCATATATGCAGCTCAGGCGTATGCTGTGCCCAATGTGGAGAAGACATTGAGGGACTATCTTCAATCACTGCGCAAGGGGCCCGACTAGCTCTGGATCCCATGGGGGAGGCAGGATGAGCAGCTGGGGCCTGCAGGTGGAGACCTTTCAACCACAGATGCCATATCTGGCCTCCCCGGCTTTCACCCATTTGCTGTCTCCAGCTTTCCTGCCGCCTTCCTGCAGAGGCTGGACAGTGGCTCATCAGCCAGCACCCTGGACTCCTCGCCTCCATAACCCCATGGCATTGGCCCCAAGACAGTGGCTTCTAGAACTACCAGCCCCTTCCTCTTCTAGCCCTTACTGTGGAGTTTGCAGCTGACTCTTGATTCTCAGTATTCTCTCTGGCGATGTACCAAGGCTCCTCTCCCCTCGGAGCCAGCTCCATAACTTGATTTTCCCCGAACGTGTCACAATCCCCACTGACCCCCCCTTGCTAGCTACACAGGCCACCCAGGGTCTAGTTTGGGCATGAGTGTAGAGGATGGGGGTGTGCCAGGCCTGGGCCATCCCAGGCAGGCCCGCTGGACCCTGATGCTACTCCTGTCCACTGCCATGTACGGAGCCCATGCCCCATTGCTGGCACTGTGCCACGTGGATGGCCGTGTGCCCTTCCGACCGTCTTCGGCTGTATTGCTGACTGAACTGACCAAGCTGCTGCTGTGCGCCTTCTCCCTCCTGGTGGGCTGGCAAGCATGGCCCCAGCAGACCCCACCCTGGCGCCAGGCCGCCCCGTTCGCACTATCAGCCCTGCTCTACGGCGCCAGCAACAACCTGGTGATCTACCTTCAACGTTACATGGACCCCAGCACCTACCAGGTGCTGAGCAATCTCAAGATTGGAAGCACAGCCCTGTTCTACTGCCTCTGCCTCCGACACCGCCTCTCTGCACGCCAGGGCTTAGCACTGCTGCTGCTCATGGCAGCAGGAGCCTGCTATGCAGCTGGTGGCCTGCAGGACCCTGGGAACACCCTTCCTGGGCCCCCTTCCGCAGCTGCTGCAGGCCCCATGCCCCTGCATATCAGTCCACTGGGACTGCTGCTTCTCATCCTGTACTGCCTCATCTCAGGCTTGTCTTCCGTGTACACAGAGCTGCTCATGAAGCGACAGCGGCTGCCCCTGGCACTTCAGAACCTCTTCCTCTACACTTTTGGTGTGCTCCTGAACCTAGGTCTGCATGCAGGTGGCGGCCCCGGCCCAGGCCTCCTGGAGGGTTTCTCAGGATGGGCAGCACTTGTAGTGCTGAGCCAGGCACTAAATGGGCTGCTCATGTCAGCTGTCATGAAGCACGGCAGCAGCATCACACGCCTCTTCGTTGTGTCCTGCTCGCTAGTGGTCAACGCTGTGCTCTCAGCAGCCCTGCTGCAGCTTCAGCTCACAGCTGCCTTCTTCCTGGCCACGCTGCTCATTGGCCTGGCTGTGCGCCTGTACTATGGCAGTCGCTAGCCCCTCACCACCTCCACCCTGATTCCTGACCTGTAGATTGGGCACCACCATCGGAGCCACCTCCCAGTGCTGACCCCTCCCCTCAGCAGCCCTGTAACAAGTGCCTTGCGAGAAAAGCTGGGGAAGTGCGAGCAGCCATGTCAGTCTCTGGAGGTAGGTGGATGGAGGGTTGAAGCCTGGGTTTGGTTAAGGAAACTCTTACACCCCCAGAAGTTCTTCCTGACTAAGGAATTAGGGGAGCATCAGTTCATGGGCCTGAGAAGTGATACCGTGCCTGATGGGAGGAGGTGCCCTGCCTCAACCTGCATGAATGCAGTTTCTTAAAGTGGGGTGTGGGCAGCAGTTGGCTTTCCTTGCCTACTGTGGTCACCCCAGCAGACCCACTGCCCCCAGGCCTGGTGCTTGCTGCTCCAGCCCAGCCATGGTGCATGACTCCCCCATAACATGCTCACCCCCCACTGTCATGTAGGAAAGCCCAGTTGCTGCAGATTATACGCCCATCACCCAGGCCTCTGCCATACTCCCCTAGCTGCAGCAGCACCTGGAAGTAATGCCCCCACTCTCTCCTTATCCCGCCTTTGTTCTGGAAACCTCAGAGAGGACTGGGGCTTGACTCATCTCAGGGATGTTGTCCCTGGGCCCTGGCTTAAGCCTACACTCCTGACCTCTCTGCTCACTCTAAGGGCTCTCTCATAGCCCACTGCCCCCTCTATAACTTCTAGGAGGTACCGTCTTTCCCACTCTGAGTCCTGCCCTTTCCTAGCAGTGTCCCGGCTCCCAACAGCCTAGGGAAACTCTACACAGAGTGACCTGGGACCAGGCACAGGGAAACTTGTATAGCTCAATCAGTGTCTGTATAAGCAATAAGGTCTTAATAAAGTGCTCTGGGGTATAGGTGGTTTCTACAGTTGGCCATAATTGTCCTGTGTCTTCTGTGTTGCATAGCTCCTCTCAAACATAATTTCATTCCTCTGGTGCCCTGAGTATCTTAATCCTGGGGTGACTTATTGACTAAGAGAAGAGGCTATTTTCTCCCAGCTGTTGCTAACAGCATTGTTTCCTTTGAGAATTCCATGGAGCCGAGACTATTTTCTGTCACGGAGCTTTGGAAGTTTCTCTGAAGCATAAAACTTGGGCCCTGGAGAATTTGGAAGGAGTCTTGGGAATAGAAAGTGTTGGGCCCAGCAAGGCAAACTGTAGACTGTAGGCTAGAGAGCTCTTAGGACTCAAGGTGGTCTCGTTTCTCATCTCCTCTGGATCCCTCACTGATATTCCTGCCTGTCGTCTCTTCTCATGACCAGAGGAATGTCAGGCCCTGCTCCCGTGGTAGAATACCTGGTAAGCTTGTGGGGAAAAAAAAAAGAGAAATCCCACTCCTGCTGAAGCAGAATCTTAGGGAGTGAGGTTTAGGAATTTTTTTTCTTTATTCTTTTTTTTTTTTTTTTTTTTTTTTCCTTTTCAGTAAGCTTCCTAGGTGATTCTGATGCACACTGCAACTTGTGAACTACTATTTCTGGCAGTGTAGAACTATAGCCAACCAGGCTTGAGTTTTAATTCTGGCTCTGTCACCTATTGGCTGACTGTCCTTGAACAATTACTTAACCTCTCTTAACTTTAGTTGGCTTATCTCTGAAATTGGGGGGGGGGGGTGTCAGATGATACCTACTACTATAAAGGGGACTGGAAATGACTAAATCAAATAAGGGATGTTAGTGTGCTCAGCAGGTACTGGCACAATGAGACCTAGTTAGTGGTGTTATTAATTATCCATAATGAAGGTTAGCTTGGCTGTTGTGTCCCAACTCCTCTCCCTTCTAGGACCTTTATGAATGAGGAGAGAGGAGACTGCCCCTGAAGGATTCCTGATCCCCACATTTCTCCTCAGGGCGGGGATCCGGCATGCCTGCGCCCAGCCTAGTCTGCTGAAGTCGCTGGCTCTGGGCTTGGAGCTCCTGGTTCTGCGTGGCCAGGTTGATGGTGTCTTGCAGGATGCCAGCCAGCAGGCTACGATAGTGATGCTCTGTGGCCATGGCCTGTTCCTCCCACAGCCCCCGCCAGGCTCGGAATACCTGTGCGCAGATTCAGAGATCCCCATCAGTCAGCCAGCCTTGGAACCAATTCAAGGCCTGCCCTCTGTCCTCACTGACCTGCAGCACGTGGGACGTCCAAGCCCGGCAGCCTGCACGTGCAGGTCATAGAGGGCTGTCAGGTCCTGCTCCGCAGTGTCCCGTTCTGCCTGAAGGGCCTCCAGCTGGAGTCTCAGCCCTGTCCACTCCCGGTGCCACCTCTGCCTCTCCTCGGAAACCTTCAGTGCTAATACGTACCATTTGTTGAGCGCAGCCTGTGTGCCAGGCTCTGCTCTACTTTATATTATTATTTCGTTTTATCTAATGATAACCTTTGAGGTAATTGCTATTTTACAGATTTGGAAACAGTGGGTCAGAGAAGTGACCTAACTTGACCAAATTCACATGGCTAGTGAGGGACAGAACTGAGATGACACATGCATTTCAGTAGTTCACCGTCATCTTTGGGGTAAAGTCCAAATCCAGAGGCGTGGCACACCGTCTCTTTAGCCTTGACTCTGACCAGGCTCCAGCCAGATGGACAGTTGGCAACACCCAGAACCTACTTTGCCATTGCTTCCGTCTGGACTTTTGCTCATACAGGATTCTCTCCCAAGAGCATGTCTCCCACCTTCCCCTGATCCGACCTCCGTGCACACAAGTTTTGTTTCTTGTTTAAACAAGATCTGTTTACTTAGTGCCTCCATGTGATGAGCACAAACTGCCCTGTGGATCTGAGTCTAGTGAATTTCTCTGGCTAATTTGTTTGTCCTTAAAGTCTCAGGTTAGATGTCATCTTCTCTGCTCCACTCCAGCCTGGGCCAGGTACACCTGTTTGTTCCCACAAGTCACTAGCTCCCTCATTTACAGCACTTAGCACTGAGAATTGCATCGTCTATCCCCCACAAAGCTGTGAGGGCCATGAGAGAGGTTGTGGTCCAGTCTGCTGTGATTGATGCTAGATCCCAGCACAGTACCTGGCCAGGTTAAAAGGAGCCTCAAGGGACTTCCCTGCTGGTCCAGTGGTAAAGAATCCGCCTTGCAATGCAGGGGATGCAGGTTTGATCCCTGGTCTAGGAACTAAGATCCTACATGCTGTGGCACAATTAAGCCCACGTGCCACAACTACTGAGCTCGTGTGCCTCAACTAGAGAGCTGCGTGCCGCAAACTACAGAGCCCACGTGCCCTGGAGCCCCCACGCCACAAACAGAGAAGAGAAAAACTCACACACCACAACTAGAGAGAAGCCCAAGTGCCACAACGAAAGATCCCACATGCCTCAACGGAGATCCCCCGTGCCACAACTAAGACCTGACTCAGCCAAAAAAAAAAAAAAAAGTAGGAGCCTCAAGTCCCCTACTTGACCTTCCTCACCTCTTCAGCCACCAGGCCTTTGATGTGGACCCCTGCCACCACTTCTTCCTCCTGTTGCAAATGCTTCAGTTCCTCTTGGATCCAAATTTGGTGCTGTTCTCGCAGTCTCTGCCTCTGGGCCTGAGCCAGGAAGAACTGCAGGGCCACATCCGGGGCCTGCTGGGCCTAGGTGGCATCATTCTAGGCTCAGCCAGAAGCCCATGTGTGTACACAGCCTTGGGACACAGGGCCCAACTTTTCCAACAGACCGCCATTACCAGGGCAGCTCCTAGAATTACATCCAGGAGACTAGCTGGCCTGAAAGAGCCTGTGGCCTGGACAGAGACTCAGAGGCCGTGAGGGAAGAGGAGAGGTATTGATTCTGCCAGTAGGTGCCATGGAGGCCCTAGGGACCCCATGCCCCTAAACGAACCCAGTAGGAAAACAGCCCCTTCCCATGCCCGTCCCTGAGGGATACAGTAACCCTTCAGGCCCTTTATTTGCCAAAAGCTCCATATTTCTCCCTGATGTTAGGGCAAGGTAAGCAGGACACATATTATCAGGACTCTGCGACTCTACTCCCCAACAGCTTCCAGTTGTTCTGGGGTACATGAGGTGTTACCTGTTCCTCAGAGTCCCTGAGAGGGTGCATTTGGTGGAGATCAGGTCCTATAGATGCTGTTCTTCCTGCCACTGGAGGAAAATGCAGTTAAGCACACCAAAGGTGGAGAAGACCTCCAGCTCCACCCCAAGCACCAGCCTCACCTTGAGGCTCTTCCTGGAGGCCTGGGCTGGGGCTTGCTGTTGAACCTGTGACCTGCTGAGAATATATTACGAATGAGAATTCTATTACCTTTTTTCCCAGGACAGTGTTGGTTTTGAAGTCAGATCAGGGTCCCAGCCCCTCCTTTTCTTAGCAGTTTGACCTCAGGCAGGTGGATAGTCTTCTGAGTCTCCATTTTCTCATCCATAAAATGGAGCTGATAAAAGTTGTAGAGAGCATGAAATGAGATAAGGCACCCAAAGCACTTAGCAGTGGCCAGCCCTGTTCAATAACTTGGAGTTTACAGGCCTAATTCCCAAGGCCCAGGGCTGTAAAAACAAGTTATAAGTAATTAAGAAAATGAAAGCACCAGGAGAAGCTGGACAGGGGCGACCTTCCAGCCACCCTGTGACAAATCATGGAAGACAGCGCCCCTTCTGCATAAGGGAGGACATGCATCCTAAGGGGATGGAAGAGTGCCGTACTGAGTCTAAGGACTTGGATGTCTTTGCACCTCTGCTGCCTTGATTATCCTAGTGACCCTGGGATACTCACATCACTTCTCGGAGCTTCAGTTTGCTGAAGCAATGCTGGGAGCGATGTTGTCTTCCCTGTTTAAAATAAATTGTGGCTTCCCCTTGACCTTCCAGACAAACTCCAAACATCTCAATTGATTTACAAAGACCTGCATGACCAGGCCCCTACTTCAGTCTCCAATCCTTCTCTCTGGACTTTCTTCCTCAAACTCTATCCTCCAGCAAATTGAGCTGCTTGCAGTCTCCCAAAGAGATCAAGGACTCGCTTACCTCTGACACTTCTCCTGTTATTTTTTCTGCCTGGAATGTTCTTCATTCATCTTTGCTAGCCATCTCCTTCAGGTTTCAACTTCCTCCATGAAGTCTTCCTTCCCTCTCTCGCCAAGACTAACTTAGATGCCCACATAGAGCCCTTTGGATAAGCTCTTCAGAGCACTGATCATGGTGTTAATTGTTTCTTTCCAGAGGATTATAAAAAGGCACATAGTGGTCAATAAATGTTCGGGAATCAATACATTAATGAAGGAAGGAAGAGCCCCCTCACAGTGCTCTGTAAACAGAGAAAAAGGAGGCAGACATCAATAGGCCTCCCAAGAGTTTGGATGGGAAGACGTACCTGTGGTTCTGGGAGCCCCATAGCCTCAGTTTTGACTGTTTTGAGCATCCAGCTTCCTGAGCGCTGGCTCCAGGGTTTTACCACCTGTGGAGAGGGGATTCTGGGTGGGCTCTGGCCATTGCTGGCCCAGGCACCCACAGACCTCACCTTGCTCACCTGCAACTCCCGCAGTGCCCTGCCCAGCTGGCCGAGCCCACTATCTGTCAGGGCGTCCCCAAGGAGGCCTGAACGCAGGCTCTTCAGGCCAGCCCGCCGGGCCCGGGCCTCTTCTACTGCATCCCAGAGGGTGGAACTCACCTGTCTCACCTTCATCCTCCTTTCTGCGGCCCCCAACAGAGCAGCCTGGAGCAAGCTCAGGGAGCTGCCTAGTAAGGGGAGACACAGAGTGACTCCCTCCTTCCTCTGAACTCCAAAGCACACTGCTTGTAAAACTTTTAATTTCTGTTAACAGTACTATTCATAAAAATAGCTAACACCTGGGCTTCCCTGGTCGCACATTGGTTGGGAATCCACCTGCCAATGCAGGAGAAACGGGTTCAAGCCCTAGTCCGGGAAGATCCCACATGCCGCCGAGCAACTAAGCCCGTGTGCCACAACTACTGAGCCTGCGCTCTAGAGCCTGTGAGCCAGAACTACTGAAGCCCACATGCCTAGAGCCTGTGCTCCACAACAAGAGAAGCCACCTCAATGAGAAGCCTGCACACCGCAACGAAGAGTAGTCCCCGCTTGCCGCAACTACAGAAAGCCCGCGCGCAGCAACAAAGACCCAACTCAGCCAAAAATTAATTAAAAAAAAAAATAGCTAACACCTATCCGGCATTTTCCGTGTGTTCGACGGTACTGTGATAAGGCTTTTCATGGATTGTCTCTTTTTAGCTACACAATACTCCAGTGAGGCAGCAACCCTAATTTACCCTGTCTCCCTCCACATTTTCCAGATGAGGCAACCGAACCTCAGAGAGGTCAAGCAACTTCCTGGTGAGTGGCAGAACTGAAACTCAAGCCCAGTTCTGTCTGACACTAAAGCCTGTGCCCTTAGTCACGATCCCAAACTGGCCTATACGTAAACACACTTCCTTCCCTCCCTGCTTTGTCCTTGAGAGTGTGAAATGCCCCAACTTATCTTCCTCATTCCACAGGGCCTGATGTAGGCTGTGGTCTGGGAATATGTTGGCCAAATGAATGTGTTTGTTGATTCTGAAGACAGAGGGCCAGACTTTTACTTTTTTTTTTTTTTTTTGTCTACGTTGGGTCTTTGTTGCTGCATGTGGTCTTTCTCTAGTCGCGGCGAGCAGGGGCTACTCTTTGTTGTGGTGTGCGGGCTTCTCATTGCGGTGGTTTCTCTTGTTGCGGAGCACAGGCTCTGGGCGTGCGGGCTTCAGTAGCTGTGGCTCACGGGCTCTAGAGCGCAGGCTCAGTAGTTGTGGCGCATGGTCTTACTTGCTCCGCAGCATGTGGGATCTTCCCGGACCAGGGCTTGAACCCATGTCTCCTGCATTGGCAGGCGGATTCTTAACCACTGTGCCACCAGGGAAGCCCCACAGACTTTTTTTTTTTACTCTTTTATTAGTGGAAAACTTCAAACATATACAAAGTCTAGGAATTTCATCTGCTTATCACCTTATCAGCTTCAACAAATATCAACTCATGGTCATTCTTGTTTGATCTATACACTCCACTTGACCTCCCCCAAATTTCTGACATATCATTTCACAGAGGCCTGATCTTTAATGAGTGTGTGAAAATAGGAAAGTACCTTCCCTTCTCTGATCCTCCCTTTCCTCGTCTATAAATTAAACCTGCCTCCCTTCCCTCGCCCGTAGATTCGATCTGCCTCATGGCATTGTGGTAAGAATCAAAGGTTTTAGTCAGTGTAAAAATGCTTGGTAAACTGTTGAAGGCCTCTGAAAGGGTGAGGGGTTGCTTTTACTATTGGCCTTACCTTTCCAGACGGTGAGAGCCTGGCAATTCTGGGACCTTTCTGAATCCTGGCCGTCCCAGAGGCTCAGGTTCTCTCTCGGCTCGCTAGGGTTGGGGCTGCCGCTGGTTGGGTGAGGGGGGGCCAGGCCTAAGGCCAGATCCTAGAGCTTCCCAGAGAAACCCACGTCCTCCCCCAGGCCACCTTGAGGGTCCAGGCGAAGAAGAAGGCCACTGTAGTTGTTTCCTTCCAGGAGACATGAGACAATCCAGGGCAGAGAGCCCTCCACCTCCTCACCAACAACCTTACCAGCCAACACCTGCAGCAAGGGACAGTCTCTGCCAGAGGGAGGGATGGAGGAAGAAAAGAGATGTCCACCGGTAGATGCAGAAAGAAACTGGCCCAAATCACACTCTGATGGAAAGATTGACTGTTTCCAGTCACTTTTGTGTACCACCAGACAGATTTGCAACCTTGTATAGATCTTTATTTTATTTTATATTTGATTACTTTTAAAATTACACAAATAATACATTCTCATAGTAAAAACAATTTAATTTTATATCTGACAAGGGACTTGTATCCAGAATATATAAAGAGCTCCTACACCTCAATAATAAAAATACAGCCCAATTGTAAAATGGCAAAGCAAGGTGACATCAACAAAAATGGCAGAGTAGGAAACTCTGGGAGTCTGTCCCTTCCCAGAAACATCTGGCAAAAAAAATGGTCAGAATCAACCTTACTGGAACTCTGGGAGATAGTCAAAGGTTGACAGCAATCAAGTGAATGTTTAACCAGGAGAAAGGCAGCTTAAATATGGTAAGAGATCTTTGTGGTGTTTTCAACTTACCCTAGCCCCAACCTTCTCCCCAGCACAGCCCACATTTCTGGTGGGGGTACCTGGTTCTGAAAGGAGCAGAGTAGATCTTGTTCCCAGGGAACTGTGTTTGTCTGTTTTGATTGTCTGGGGTTTCCCACAAAGGACTGACAAAAGCTGCCTCCCTTTGTCTCACTTATCTTGGAATTCTCTTGGAGCAGAGGAGCTATGCCAGAGGATAGTCCCCCAAAGCATTGAGAGATGAAAGAACAAGCAAAAATAACAGTTGGGGCAAACAGTAGACACATGGAAAGACTGGGAGAAAAGGTGGGGAGTGAAATTTTGGAGGAATAAGGATTTTGAAAAGTTCCCATGTGTACTAGGGTACCTAGAAAGCCACACATATGTCCAGGGCAGTATGTGTGGTCAGAAGAGACCTGAGAAGACCAAAGGCTTTCACCTCTGGCTGAATTAGGGCTCAGTGCAAGCATCAGGTGAGGCTAAGGCAGAGCTGTAAATGGTCTTGCTAAGCATTTAAGGAGTGACCCAACACAGAGCCAGTCTGTAGAAACCTGGAGATTTTTTTTCTTCCTTTCTCCCTTTTTTTCCCTTTTCCTCCTCCCTGCCTCCTCCTTCTTCTCCTTCCTCTCTCCTCATTCCCTTTCCCCTACCTGTCCTCCTCCTCCTTTTTCTCCTTTTCCTTTCTTTTTTTTTGGGGGGGGGGCGCGCATTCTCGGAGGTTAGGGAATTCTATGTCAGGTCATTGGCTAATCACTGAGATAATAGAATGAAGAATTCAGTGACTGCAAGGAATACAGTCTTTGCAAAAATTGTTTGGAAAAGTAAGCAAATGGATGGCTGATGCTCACAACAAGCAACAAGGCAAACCCTGGAGAGGAGGGAGAATCCAGCTTTCAGAGTTACCAGATTATCATATCCAGAGTGTCAGAGCACTAAGGAAAAAGAATGGAAACTTAAGAGACCAACACAATAAAGAATATAGTCTTTACAAAAAGTACTCAAATTGGCCAGTTTCCAACAAAAAATTATTAGGCATGCAAATAAGAAAGTATGGCTCAGGACTTCCCTGGTGGTCCAGTGGCTAAGACTCTGCACTCTCAATGCAGGGGGCCTTGGTTCGATCCCTGGTCAGGGAACTAGATCCCACATGCCTCAACTAAGATCTGGCACAGCCAGATAAATAAATAAAATTTTTTTTAATTAAAAAAAAAGAAAGTATGGCTCACTCACAGGAAAAAAGAAAAAGAAATTAATAAAAACTGTCCCTGAGGAAACCAGACACTGGATTCAGTAGACAAAGACTTTAAATCAACTGTCTTAGATATTTTCAGAAAACTAAATCAAGAAAATGATGTCTCACCAAGGCTGGCTCCTCTGTCAACTCCCAGTTCCCTCTTTCCCACCCAACTTCTAGCTTCACTGCTATCTTGGGAATTTTCCTAAAAATTTTGTGGTGGGAGAAGGGGAATAAAGATAAAGAAAAAAAAAGAAAGAAAATGATGGCTCAGTGACTATCAATAGAACAATAGAAATTATAAAAAGGAACCAAGTAGAAATATGGGAGCTGAAAAGTACAATAACTGAAATTAAAAATTCACTAGAGGGTAGATTTGAGCAGGCACAAGAATCTCAACAAACCTGAATATAGGTCAAATAAAATTATCCAGTCTGAGGAGCAGAAAGAAAAAAGAATGAAGGAAAATTAGCCTAAGAGACCTGTGGGCTGACATCAAGTGTACAAACATATGCATAATGGGAGTCCCAGAGGGAGAAGAGATAGAGAAAAGGACAGAAAGAATATTTGAAGAAATAATGCTCAAAAAGTCCCTCAAACTTATGAAAGGCATGAATCTACACATCCAAGAAGCTCAACAAATTCCAAGGAGGGTATACTCAAAGAGATCTACACCAGGACAGATTATAATCAAACTGTCAAAATCCAAAGTCAAAGAAAGAATCTTGAAAACAAGAGAGAAGCAGCTTATTATGCACAAGGGATCTTCAGTAAGATTAAAAACCAATTTTTCATCAGAAACTATGGAGGCCAGAAGGCAGTGAGATAACACAGTTAAAGTGTTGAAAGAAAAAAAAACAAAAAACCAAACCTTTCAACTAAGATTTCTGTATCTGGCAAGACTATCGTTCAGAAATGTAAGAGAAAGTAAGATATGCCCAGATAAACAAAAATTGAGGGAGTTCATTGCTAGTAGACCTGCCTTACAAGAAATACTAAAGGGAGCAAATCCTTCAGCATGTCAGACATGAGGAAAGGAGGAGACTCTGATGCTGCCCTGGGCCTCTACATCCATATTTCAGCCACCTACCCAAGCCTTCCCCAAAGCTGTTAAAAGGCTCCATCAAACTTACAGGGCTCCTGGAAGCTGCAGGATCCGCAAGGCTCCTCGCCACATGCCCTGGGTCCCAGGCCCCTCAGGAGGGTCAGGCCGTGGGCAGGACATGGTGACAGTGAGCAGAGAGCAGGCACTGTGGAGGAGATCAAAGGATCAGGCCAAATGGCTAGGGGATGGGGGTGGGTGAAGGCACCTGCCTGTCCTCACCTGTCTTCACCACCTGCAGCCTGCAAGTACAGCTCTGAGGCAGCTCTTGAGTCAGACACCTCCACTTCACTGGCATTTTCTACCACGCTGGAGGAAGGGAAGGCTGATCTCAGCTCCTAAGCACAAGGGTTCTGTCCAGCCCCCCAGAATCTCTGCATGGGGAGCCCATGGGGGCCCAAGAGCCTATAAGAATCATCCCCAAGACTCCAAGCTCAATATATCCCCTAAAAGCCTCTCATCTTCATGATCTTATTTTTTCTCCTATCATCTGCCCAGTGAGGGAAACAAGATAGTTGGGATTGCTCCCATTTTATAGATGGAGAAACTGAAGTTCAGCTCGGTGAGATGCTCAGATCACCCGGGATGGTAATGACTGAGTTGAAGAGGTGTAAGTGGATGGGGTGGTGAGAAGAGCGAGAGGTTATGGAGATATGGGATGAAGGGAAGACGGTGAGAGGGAGTCCTGGGGGCAAATGCAAAACCTGTAAGCATGACCCCAAGTTCATAACTTCCCTTCCCTGGAGCGGCAGTGGGGAGAAGCCTCCAACGGCTTGGTTTGGGGTGTCAGCCCTGACTTAAGACAAGCTCCCTCAGACCCCGTTGGGCTCTGGACACTCACAAGCCCAGAGGGGACACATCCAGCACTGACAGGGTCTCTGAGCCTGGAGCAAGCAGGTCCCGACTCCTCCCACTGGTGCTGAGCTGCGATCACACAAGCACAACATCTGTTACAAACCGAACCTTTCCCCAGCCTTTGGCTCATGTGATCCTCCCGCTGGGGCCCTGTGAACCAAGCAGGGCACCAAAATTCAGCCATCTCAGGCAGGAAAAAGGAGACCCCAGCAAGGCAAGCCGACAGTGGTGTGGAGGATGAACGGGAAGAGGGGGAACCAATGAGAGACTAGCTGTAGGTGTTTGGACGGGCAAAAGATCCAAACTCTTCAGGCAGTCCCTGAGCCTTGGGCTCTTTTGCAGCATCAACATGGCCTTGGCTCCCCAGGTCTCCCCTCCCCTCAGGACCTCACCTGCACCAGGCTAAGTGTACTAAGCACGGCATCAGAGCCCCTGAGGGGCAGAGCTTCTTCAAACAGCATCTGCAGCAGCTAAAGAGGAGAAGGGTGAGTGAGGATTGAGAAAGGATTAACCTGTTTTTCAACATTTCCTGAGGGCAAGGAAATTATTTCTATGCCTGGCCCTGTGCTAGGTGCTCTGGACTTGGTGGCCAGGACAAAAATAGCCCCTGGCCTTGTGGTTCCCAGCGAGCCAGACAAGTGAGCAGACATTTTCAGTGGGACCTCCTGTTTGCTAGGGTAGGGGCTCATGACAAGGTTTTGAGGCAACTATTTTAGTTTGGGGGCACTTTGCTGAAGCCTAAAAACAAAATGTTTATTATCATCATTAGTATTGCTAAGAACAGTGAAAAGTAGACTTCCCTGAGTATTTGATCTTTGCACACCACCCCTCCTTGACCCTCACCTCATGGACCCCAGCCTCCCACCTTCCCTGACCTCTCAATAGCTTCGTGATTGATGCTGGAAAAACATCCTGTATGGACCACGGGGTGCTATAGGAACCCCAAGGAGGGGCACCTAGTCCAGCTAGGGTGGGGAGGGGAAAGTTCTCGAAGGTCTCCTTGAGGAGCCAACACTTGAGTCTCATAACAGCTATGACTGGTGCATCCTCTGGGACTCACCTGAGGCACAAGCCGGGGTGCCTCTGTTTCTCGACCCCGAAGCAGCAGGGCCACACTGTACCCTCGGCCCACCGAGCCCAGCATGCACTGGACTCTTGCTAGCAACTCCTGCTCCACCTCCTGCAGGGAGACACAGGCACATCTCCGACTCAGGTGCCTGCCCAGCCTGCCCTGACCAGAGAGCTTGGGAAGCACTCAGCACTCCAGGATCAAGGGTCCTGAGTGCTCTGACCCTCCTCCCATCGCCCTACCAGACCCCCCTACCTGAGGAGCATCAGAACCCAGGACTCTGTCAAAGGTGATGCATTGTTCCTGTGAGCAGAACTGGAGTCAACAGTGTCACTCCCATCTTCCCTGGACTTAGCCACACCCCATCCCAGCCCATCCCATCTCTACCTGACTCTCCGGAATCCCACGCTGACACAGGCGGATGCTCTTGGGCCCCTCCAGGAGGAGCGTGGGGCAACAGGTCTCCTCGGGGCCTGAGACAGGTGGGCTTCATATCAGCTCTCATGGGGGAAACTGAACTCTCAGGACTCCTGAGTCCTGCCCTCAACCTTTGCCTGAGTTTCCTAATGTGAGATGGCCTCACCCTCCCCCTCTCCCAAGAGGCTCTCCCAGGCTGTGTTACCTCTGAGATGAACGTGTGGAGGCTTCTTACCAGATCTTCTCCTTCGCTCTACTTCCACCACCACGGCCAGCCTGGTCTGTGGGTTGTCAGTGAGGACTGAAGGAGCTGAGCTGCCCCAGCCCAAAGCAGCCCCTGTGCTCATCACCTCTCCGCACTCCATGGCTTCTGTGCCTCTCAGATTCCCCTCAATAATTCATCTCCCTGATCTGAGGGCTCTGGGTGGGGCCTCTAAACAATAACTTACCATAGGAGGTGACAGACCTCTCTTTTCTGAGTGAGCCAGACTGTTGCATGGAATTTTTCTTTTTTTCCTCTTATGAAAAATTTCAGACATATATAACTGTGGAGAGAAGAGTTTAATGAACTTCCAGGCACTCAGCTTCAGCAGTTATCAACTTATGGCTGGTCTTATTCCTTCTGTTCCCCTTCCACCCCAGTGGATTCTTTTTTTTTTTTTTTTTTTTTTGCGGTACGCGGGCCTCTCACTGTTGTGGCCTCTCCCGTTGCGGAGCACAGGCTCCGGACGCGCAAGCTCAGCGGCCATGGCTCACGGGCCCAGCCGCTCCGCGGCATGTGGGATCTTCCCGGACCGGGGCATGAACCCGCGTCCCCTGCATCGGCAGGCGGAGTCTCAACGACTGCGCCACCAGGGAAGCCCCCAGCGGATTCTTTTGAAGCAAATCCCACACACCTTATATTTCACATATAGCTATTTCAGTATGTATTTATAAAAGATAACTACCTTTTTAAAAAATGACAGTTTTGTTGAGATATAATTCATATACCATACAATTCACCCACTTAAAGTGTATTATTCAATGGTTTTTAGTACGTTTGCAGATATGTGTAACTCTTACTACGGTTAATTTTAGAACGTTTCCATCACTTTATAAAGAAACTTGCTTTCCTTTACTATAACCTCCCTAACCCGCACCCTATCCTGACCCTGAAACAACCACTCATCTACTCTCTGCCTCTATAGATTTGCCTATTCTGGACATTTCATATAAGTGGACTCACATAATATGTGTTCTTTCTGTGACTGGCTTTTTTCTTGTTTTCCAAGGTTCATCCATGATGTAGCATGTATCAGTACTTCTTTCGTTTCTGTGGCTGAATAATGTTCCATGTAGGATGAAATTACTTCTGTCACCAACTACCCAGAGTTTGGCCAGACTTCACAGGTAAGAGCACAGTTGCAATAAGACTGCCCTAAATTCAGACGCTAGTCTCAAGCTCAGGGGTCCTCACTTTGACTAGCTATCTACACTCCCAGGTATACCCGCTACTCCTGCAGCTTCCATAATTTGCTGGAATGACTTACAGAACCCAAAAAAGCATTATAGTTAACTGTATCTGACACCAATTTTCTAACACTGACTGGACGTCCTACATTTCAATCCAATTCTGATACTAATGTCAACTGAAAAAAAAAGCACAACCTGTGAATTGTGAGTTAAGTTTTATTTGGGGTAAAATTAGGACTATAGTCCAGTAGACAGCATTTCAGATTGCTCTGAGAAGCTGCTCCAAAGAGGTAGCGGGGGAAGTTCAGTATATATGTGCTTTTGGTGCAGGGGGAGTACGTGCAATGAAGCACATATTCCTTTGCAGGAGGTTTCTGCTAGTCTCGTGAAGGTTACTGCTAGTCACCAGGAGCAGGTGTCACCATGAGGGATGATTTTAGTGCTTTTCTAGGTACAAGGAGATGCAACAGTTGGACTCATAAAATTGTCTCCTGAAAATATGTATCTGAAGACCTGTTTTGCCAGTTTTTCCTAGAGCACAGAGCGCCTCATTCCTCATCTCCACCCTGAACTCCTTTCAGGGGGTGTTGAAGGTCAGCAGTTGCAGCAGCTCATAATTTGATCCTTGTAGAGGTAGATGGCAAGTGCCAATTTGTAGGTGACACTAACTACTTGGAGTTAGCGCCAGATCCCACAAGTTAAAATGCAAGGTTCTCAATAAGACCCCTTATTTCAGGTTCCAGCCACAAGTGGGATCCCCAGGTTACTTGTAGTACTGCCTGACTTGGCTACAGATTCCTGGGTTCCCACAACCAACCCTCAGGTTCAATAATTCACTAGAATGACTCACAGAACTCGGGAAAGTGCTCTATTTATGATTACCTTTTTTTAATTATAAAGCATGCAAGTGAACAATCAGATGAAGAGTGTTGGAGTCCAGCTCCAACGAGTCCAGGAGTACCTGAGGGAGGAACAGCGTCAGCGACGGAGAAAGAACGAGACTGACACTGTCTCTGGAGTCAGGCAGATAGTAGCATACTTTATTGTTATTCAGCAAGCTTATATATTTTTGGTTTACATAATCAAAACATAATTATCATAATATAGTCTAGCCTTAGGCCTCAAACCCTTGACAACAAGATTTCCTCAAAAGACTACCTTAGAATTGTCTGTAGTTTCTAGATGTGCTATCAAGATATTTCCCCAAGTTCTCATTAGTTGCAGGTTATTTTCTAGTAGTTAAGCCAAGCTATTATGTAAGTCTTTATCACAGAAGTGCAGTCTTCGTGTTCTTTCTGCATAGGCAAGTGTTTTGAATAGTGCCTTGAAAATATTTACAATATATCCTACAGTTCCTGTGTTGCTGACTCCACTAGTAGCACTCACAATACCTCCTACGCTCCTGTTTATCATCCGGCAATTGTTGCCAGAGTATTAACCTTTCTTTATATTGGACCCAGATAAAACCAAAATCATCAACAACCCCTTCGTAGGGCCACAGTTGTTCAATTGGGGGTGTTTTCCATAGGAACATCCCTATATTTCCAGATTGTGTATTGCGTTCCCAGTTTCCTGGGGCCGGAATAGGTACTTTCCATTTTGTGGTACTAATAGTAGGGGGGGGGGTAGTAGTTTTTCTCATTTTCCTAACCCTGGGCGCAAATCCCCCTAGTGCTGTTTCCATATATAAGCTTAACACAACCAAACAAATCAATAGAGATGTAGTCCGCCGTCCTGGCACAGTGCTGCTTTGCAGTCCAGCCTCTGATTGCATCATGACTTTGTCACGGCGCAGGGACTCCAGGATGGCTTCCAACAGAAGAGTTATGTAGGGCAAGGTCTGGAAGGGTCCTGAGTGGCAGGAGCTCCTGTTCCTGTGGAGTGAGGGTATGCCTTCCCAGTACATCAGTGTGTTCACCAACCAGGAAGCTCCCTGAGCCTCATTGTCCAGCATTTTTCGATGAGATTTCATTATGTAGGCATGATTAATTAAATCATAGGCTATGTGATTGAATTCAACTCCAGCCCTTCAATCTGCATGATTTTTCTTTTTTTGACTGTGCTGCGTGGCATGCAAGATCTTAGTTCCATGGCCAGGGATCAAAACTGTGCCCTCTGCAGTGGAAGCACAGAGTCTCAACGACCGGACCACCAGGGAAGTCCCTGCATGGTTGTTTATTTCTAGTGAGTAACCTCTTCCATCCTAGAGCTATCTAGGAGCCCTGCCAGAAGTCACCTCATTAGTATAACAGAGAGACTCCTATTGATCCGGAAATTCCAAAGGTTTTTGAAGCTTTGTGCCAGTAACTGAAGACAAAGGCCAGATAAGTTCTTTGTTATATCACAAGCCACTCTCTGGTTTTTCACCAAGGATCCCTTATAGCCAAAAGAATCATACCTGTCTGATCATCTACATTTGGTATACGTCTATATAACAGGTAGAGCAATAGTAACAAGATGAATATGCCTAACATCTGGAGGAATCAGTGTGGGGTAGGCATAGGAGGCTTGTATTTTCCCATACATTTGACTATCAATATTAATACTGTAGTCTCACCAACAATGCCAGTGTTATATCTCGTTGTGTAGCTGTTACATGAAAAATAAGAGTAATTAGTTCAGTCCATCATTATAATTTACGATCAAAACGTCTCCCACGGCAAGGCCACCCAGGTTTGCAGTCTTCTCCTATATCTCATCAGGTTCCAAAGCAAAAGTGGTCTCAGGATTAGATGGTTTCACCCTGAGACATCTGGTATAACTGAACTAAGGGACATACCATCTTTTTCTCTGAGCCTCTTTTGAAGCATTTGTTGTAATACTGGATTTCCTTCATTGCATAACCTATTTATTCGTTCCTTCACTCTCAGCTTCTGTTCCTCCTTCTAAAGTTCATACGGATTTCAACAGATGCTGAATAGTCAGAACAATCTTATAAAAGAAGAACAAAGTTGGAGGACTCACACTTCCTGATTTCAAAACTTATTGTGAAGCTATAGTAACCAAGACACTGTGGTACTGGCATAAGAACAAACATAGAGATCTGTGAGAGAGCAGAGCAGTAAGGGTCCAGAAATAAACTCATGTTTCTATGGACAGCTGATTTGACAAGGACATCAAGAACATTCAATGAGGAAAGATTAATCTTTTTAACTAATGGCACTGGGACACCTGGACATCCAGATACCGATGAATGGAGTTGGACCCTTACCTCAGACCATATACAAAAATTAACTCAAATCGATCAATTTCCCAAACTTAAGAGCTCAAACTATAAAACTCATAGAAGAAAATACAGAAACTAATCCTCATGGCCTTTAATCTGGCAATGAGTTCTTAGATATGATACCAAAAGCAAGCACAACAGAAGAAAACATGATAAACTGAATTTCATCAAAGTTAAAAACTTTTGTGCATCAAAAGACATTATCAAAAATATGAAAAGGCAGCCTACAACATGGGAGAAAATATTTGCAAATTATATACCTGATGATGATCTACTATCCAGGATATATAGAGAGCTCCTACAACTCAGCAACAAAAAGACAAACAACTCAAGTAAAAAATGAGGGAAAGACTTGAATAGCCATTTCTCCAAAGAACATATACACAGTGCATAAAAAGATGCTCAACGTCATTATACATTAGTGAAATGCAAAAAGACAAACAACAATTAATAACTAGGAAAAAAAATTTGAATAGATAGTTCTCCAAAGAAGCTATACGAATGGCCAACAAGCATGTGAAAAGATGCTCAAAATCCTTGGTCATTAAAGAAATGCAAATCAAAAACATAATGAGGTACCACTTCTTACTCACTAGTATGGCTCTAATAAAAAGAAAAAAATGGGCTCTGATTCAGTTGATACACACAACTGAAAATACAAACTTTCAGGGCATGTATTGCTTTTTTTAATATACATTTATTTATTTGTTTGTTTTTATTTTTGGCTATGTTGTGTCGTCGTTGCTGTGCACAGGCTTTCTCTAGTTGCGGCGAGCGGGGGCTACTCTGCCTTGTGGTGGGCAGGCTTCTCATTGTAGTGGCTTCTCTTGTTGCAGAGAATGGGCTCTAGGTACACAGACTTCAGTAGTTGTGGCACGTGGGCTCAGTAGTTGTGGCTTATGGGCTCTAGAGCTCAGGTTCTGTAGTTGTGGTGCCCGGGCTTAGTTGTTCCGTGCCATGTGGGATCTTCCCGGGCCAGGGCTCGAACCCATGTCCCTTGCATTGGCAGGCGGATTCTTAACCACTGAGCCACCAGGGAAGCCCCAGGGCACGTATTGCTTTAAATGCATAATGCTGCCAGACCAGATGCATTGAAAAAAAACAAAACCACCTCCTTTCTATAGCCATTGAAACAAAGTTTACTGTTCTGTTTTAACAAGTTTGTATTGTATTTTGCATTGACACACATCTGCTTATTTTAAAAAATGACATCCTTTTGGTAGTAATCGTTCAGCACACGTAGGTATTACAGCTTGATGTTTGTGTGTTCTAATTCTCAATGTTCTTTGATTACAGGTCTTATAGAGCAGTTAAGGCAACTTTAATGGCATTTTTGAAATGTATTGTAAAATAAAAAGAGGTAACGTAATTAAAAAGAAAACCGTTGGTGAGAAAGTGGATAAATAAGAACGCTCATACATTTTTTAAAATTAATTAATGTATTTTTGGCTGTGTTGGGTCTTCGTTGCTGTGCTCTGGCTTTCTCTAGTTGCGGCAAACCGGGGCTACTCTTAATTGTGGAGCATGGGCTTCTCATTGCAGTGGCTTCTCTTGTTGCGGAGCACGGGCTCTAGGCACGTGAGCTTCAGTAATTGTGGCACGGGGGCTCAGTAGTTGTGGCTCGCGGGCTGTAGAGGGCAGGGTTAGCAGTTGTGGCACACAGGCTTAGTTGCTCCGCGGCATGTGGGATCTTCCCAGACCAGGGCTCGAACCCGTGTCCCCTGCACTGGCAGGCAGATTCTTAACCACTGCACCACCAGGGAAGTCCACACCCTCATCCATTGCTGATGGGAATGTAATATGGTGCAGCCGCTGTGGAAAAGAGTTTGGGGGTTCTTCAAAACATTAAACATATAATTACCATATGATCCAGCAAAACTTCTCCTAGGTATATATGCAAAAGAACTGAAAAGGGGTACATAAACAGATTTGTGTACTAAAATGTTCATAGTAGCATCATTCACAATAGCCAAATCTGTCCATCGATAGATGAATTAATAAACAAAATGTAGTTTATAATACAATGGCGTATCATACAGCCATAAAAAGCAATGAAGTACTGACACATGCTACAACATAGATGAACCTTGAAAACATTATACTAAGTTAAATAAACCAGACACAAATACTGTATGATCCCACTTATATTAAATATCTAGAATAGGCAAATTCATAGAGACAGAAAGTAGATTAGATGTTCCCAGGCTCTAGGGGAAGGGAAATGGAGAGTATTTGCTTAACGGGTACAGAGTTTCTCTTGGGGTGACAAAAAAATTCTGGAAATTGTGGTGATGGTTGCACAATACTGTGAATGTAATTAATACCACTGTACCTTACACTTAAGAATGGTTAAAATGGCAAACTTTACTATATATATATATATTTTTTTACCAGAATAAAGAGAAAATATATATATCTTATTCCTATCTGCATACAATCATGCTGTTTCCCTCATCTTAATGAAGATTATCTTATGAACATAACATCAATCATACTCCATGGTGAAAGACAAAACTTTCTAAGATCAGGAACAAGACAGGGATGCCCACTTTTGTCACTTCTATTTAACATAGTACTGGAGATCCTAGCCAAAGAAGTTAGGCAGGAAAAAGAAACAAAAGACATCCAAACTGGAAAGGAAGAAGTAAAATTGTCTTTGTTCACAGATGACATGATCTTATATGTAGAAAATCCTGAAGATTCCACACAAAAAAACCTGTTAGAACTGATAAACAAATTCAGCAAAGTTGAAGCATACAAAACCAACAAACAAAATCCAGTGAGTTTTGTAAAAAAAATAAACAGAAACCTCAATTAAATAGAGTTGGGAGACCAGAAGGGACTGCTTCATGCCCTGAGACCTTAGCAGAGCCCAACAGGAAGAAGAAAGACTCCTTTTTTACTGGCAAGGAGCCCTCCCACCTTCCTTTTCCTCTGTATAAAAGTGTTCTCCTACCTTTGCCATACAGAAACTTGCATGTATTGATAGCTCGCCATGATTGCAGACCCCTGAATTGCAATTCTCTGCTGATCCCAAAGAAACCTGTCTTTGCAGGAGAACTATCTGGCAGTCTATTTGTTTCAGTTCAGCAGTTTCTATACACTAACAATGAACAGTCTGGAAAGGAAATTAAGAAAAACAATTCCATTTACAATAGCATCAAAAAATAAAATAAAGTACTTAGAAATTAACTGAAGAGATGAAAGACTTACAATGAAAACTACAAAAATTGCTGAAAGAATTAAAGAAGACACAAGTAAATGGAAAATCATCCCATATTCATGGATCGGAAGACAATATTATTAGGATATCAACACTCCCCAAGGCAAGCTACAGATTTAATTAAATCCCTGTCAAAATCTAATGGCATTTTTTGCAGAAATAGAAAAATCCATCCTAAGATTCATATGGAATCTCAAGGGACCCCAAAGAGCCAAAACAATCTTGAAAAAAAGAATAAAATTGGAGATCTCACACTTCGTGATTTCATAACCTATTACAAACCTACGGTAACCACAACAGTGTGGTACTGGCATAAAAACAGATATATGGGGCTTCCCTGGTGGCGCAGTGGTTGAGAGTCCGCCTGCTGATGCAGAGGACGCGGGTTCGTGCCCCGGTCCGGGAACATCCCACGTGTCGCGGAGCGGCTGGGCCCGTGAGCCATGGCCGCTGAGCCTGCGCGTCCGGAGCCTGTGCTCCGCAACGGAAGAGGCCACAGCAGTGAGAGAGGCCCGCGTACCGCAAAAAAAAAACACAAAAAAACAAAACAAAAAAAACCCCAGATGTATGGACCAATAGAATTGAATAGACAGCCCAGAAATAAAACCTCACATATATGGTCAAATGATTTTCGACAAGGATGCCAAGACCATTTAATGTCTTTTCAAAAAATGGTATTGGGAAAACTGTCTATCCACATGCAAAAGTGTTGGGAGGCAGAGATATTGAATAATATCTACCGAACTGAGAAAGAACCTTGAGACCAAAAAACAAAGCAGGCAACTCCATAAAGTGCAATTTTGAAGTTTATTGTGCGTACTGACATACAGCCATATTACATAATGCGTATTGTGAACTTACATACAGCTAGGATCCAGAGGCATTCACAGCAGCGCTCTGCGAAGGGGATACCTTGGATTTAAAGGGGCCAAAGCGAAAAACAGAATTTGACTACCAAGTAAGATGCACATCTGCATCCAAGGGAACCGGGGCTTTTTCCTCCTGGGGGGGTCTCATGACCATTAACCATCTGTGTCAAAAAAGGCATTCTTCCAGTTTTCATATCACATGAAGGCAAGAGTAAAAGTTGTTAGGAAAGTAATCTGGCTTGGGTGCACTCCTTGTGAGTAGACTAAAGCTCAGTTGTGCAGAAAGGGGAGGGGCAAGACTGTGGGCCTAAGATGGAGGTGACAAAATGGAGTCAGTGTGGTTCAGCCACATAGATTGGCAGTTTATTTAGCTGCCCCTATGACTCTTTGAGCCCATGGTCTGATAACCTGTGTAACTCTCCCATCAATGTTAATTTGCATTCTCCATTCCTATCTGTGTGGTTCTGGACACTGGAGGGAGACAGGCTGGAGGGCTATGTTTACATGCCTCCTCCCACTCCTCTTGAGGTCCCCCTGGAGGCAGATACCTAGATCTCTGCTGGGTGTGGCTGCCTCCTTGATGTAATGAAGAAGGGACCCTTACAAGGAACAGTACCTCTTGGCTGCTTGGCTGATGTCCTGGGTCACTGAGATAATGTGGTTCAGAGGACGTATACTATTAATTGCCCTGTGCAGGGGTCTGCGAAGCTGTGAAGGGTCTAAGGTGTTATCCTGTTTGCAAATCAAAGAACGAATATACACACATATACTAACATAGTCACAAGATCTCTGGTTCAGAGCCAGGCTGTTAAATGACAGCATCTTCTATCAGTTCCCCAACCCCAAACTCCCCATTACATGACACAGCGAAAGCCAGTGTACCTGTGTGTGCAGAGGGGCTGTACGCTACAGGAGAGGAACCCTGAAATTATAAAACTCAGAGCTTATGTAGAACAAGTGGCATAGCTGTCTCTCCTCACTGGGGGTTGGAGGAAAAAAAGAGAGTGAAAATAAGCAAATGGCTCTGGGTTTTATTACCTTGGAAAGGGAGAAGCTGACTCTTGGAAAATGCACCAGAGAGGAAACATTCTGTATCCTCCTAGGCATGTTTACCATTCAAACATCCTTTAACAGGTGCCAGGAATCTGTTCAGAAAGCCCGCATTGGGCAGAAACCCTTGGTTCTGCCACACAGCCCTAGACAGGCGACTTTTCCCTGCCCTTTCTGCCCCTGTAGTTCTTTTCTAAGTAAGGGCAGGTATGGTTTCTAGGGAGTTAGGATGAAGAAAGTTTAAGTATAATGGATTCG